TCAGGCTTCTTCTTTCCAATTGCTTAAATTGGAAAATTTACTGGGATGATCATTCTTCACTTTCATCTACTACCGCAGTTCATATATGAATTATTTCATATAACTTTACATCAAAGTCATGTTAAATATCTTACAGTCTTATTGTTCATGAGTTTTCAAGTGGTATTTATTTATTTTATTTGTTTATGTTTTTTTTATTTTATTTCATTTTTTTGTCTCTTTCTCTTCTTTTTATCTTCTTGCATTCATCAAGCTTTAGTGCCAACCTACATCTGATATGTAAACATTATTTAGATTTACTCAGCTCAATTAGCTTTTTAGTTATTCTGAGTAAAATGTTACCTTCATTTGCATTAATATATTATGCTGTAATTTAAGTTTAACTTTTAATCTGGTAATATTAAATAAAGCTTGTTGTTGTTGTTGCTTTGCTAAGCTGTTTGATGTGATGCTAACCCATTACATACATACTTACATACATCATTTATTTGTTTACGCAGGTTGGCACTGTGATTACCAGAACCATTTGTCTTTAGATTAAACCAATTCATGGTACACTGAACCGCTTGGTGTCAAGACACACCAATACACAGACAGCTAGTCTGTTTGGTACATGTATTGTACTAATTAAAACCATTGCTGAATTGTGAATCTACACACAATGTAGAAGCTGAACCATTTACACTTAGACTTGATCATTTTGTCTTCATTGTACCATTTCAACACGGGCAACTATACAATTTCTAAACTGTCTAAACCATTTATTGGTTGACTCTTCCATTCCACATTCCATTCTTTTACAATTTACTTGCAAGCCCAAAACCTCAACAAATTGTTCCAATACAGCAAAGGATCATGCAAGCAATTTTTGAGCACCATCTGCATATTCACTCAGCTCACATTCAGTGCTGTCAACTGTGATTCCTTTTACCTCATTATCTTTACGAATAGTGGTACCTAAAACCTCTGCAAACAACATAAAAATGTAAGGCGAGAGTTGACAACCCTGCCTCACACCTCAACTTAATTCAAAGAAACCCACTGACCAACCGTTATTTATTCCACAGTTTTCGATGTCACAGTAAAGTAAGTTGATCCACTTAATTGGAGACGAGCTGAAACCAAATGATGGAATGTTTTGAATTCTCAACAAAATTAATGCCCATTCAATGGTAGAAAGCTTTTTCAAAGTCAACAAAGAGAAGTAACTTGAGAATAATTATTCTTTGATTCTGGGTATGAGATAACATTATTAATCAAGCAACTGTTTTCTGCAGTAGAGCACCCTTTCAAGAAACTAGTTTGGTCATTGTCTCCTAAATGTTGCAAAACAACCTTGAGTCGTGAAACGATGCCTTCCTTGGATCCAATTTTGTAGTTACAGTTCAATAAAGTTATGGGTCTCCAGTTTTTTAGTTCTTGTGGTGCCTTGCCTTTTTGGGGATCAATGAAATGATGTCTCTTAAGTCTTGGGGTTACAGTAAGCTTACCCCTCTGACAGCTTTTGTTAAGGCCATGTATAACAAATGGAGAGACATCCTTGCAAAACAATGTATAAAATTCAGCAGGGCGGCCGTCTGGTCCAGTCGATTTACTGGTGTCCATTGTTTTTAAAGCCTCTAAGGATTCTTTTTCAGTCAAAAGTCCTTGGCATTTGTGCTTATCAATATCATAGAGTGAAGGGCATTCCTGACCGAAAAAGAAGTTAGCAGAACATGATGTCACTCTGTATTTCTTTTTTTTTTTCTTTTTTTTTTTTTGAAGCGTAAAGCAGACTATAAAAAGAATTGTATTCTTTTAATATATCTGGGTCGTTCCTAGCATATGACCTGTTGCTCGCTTAATCTGGGTTATTGTTTCCCTCTTACGTCTATTTTCTAAATTCAGGAAATATTGGCTTTTTTAATCACCTTCATTAATTGCACTATTTGGCTTTAGACCTATTGTAGTTATGGCACCTTTTGTTTTGTACTGCATGATATTCTCCAATTCATTTTTCTTTAAGCGTATTTGTTCCTCAAGGACATCTTTAATACTATTTACACCCTGTTCCAACATTAATTAATTAATCATTACTGAAAGAAAGACTGAAAGACCAGTAAGCAGTTGTGAACTATTAACTGAGAGTTGTGACAAGTCAGTTGTGGTATTAAATTTGAGATCATGTTTATTTGACCATACCCTTTCCCTCAGAAGTGAGGAACAGAATTCAATTTCCATTTGCCGCAAGGTTTTGAATGGCAGGGCTTCATGATCCTCCAATAATCTAAGGAATGTGTACACACCAGTTGCCAGAAGCACTGGGTTCTTCTCCAGCCAAGCCCTGAAACCAAACAGACAATAGATTACCAGTATACTGACTTGTACTGACAACAAAATGTTTTCCTAACGGTGGTTTACAGCACATGGTCATACTTTGAGGGACAGTGATAGATCAAGGCTCTCAAGTATCCACAAGGCAAAGCAAGAGTGACTGAGTCACCATCTACAGTGTTTAACATGGTGATCATCTGGATGATCCAGATTAGGGTTAGCAAGGAGCTGATAAGTCATGCAGTGGAGGTCAATAACACACCAATATTAGTAACACCTGTCCTTATTTATATTAGTCCCCAGCCTGTTGAAAAATCATGCACTTTAGAAGGAAAAATATTTCATACCTATTGTTGTTCAGTAACCCTAAGACATTCTCTGCAAGCCAAATGTTTGAAGGTGAGTTATCTCCTCCAGAAATTTGTCTGAGAAGAGCTTGACAAAGCCCCTCAACACCAGGAACAGAGTTCTTTATTAGTTCGCAAGAGAGCCACAGTACCTGCAGAGGACAACAACAGGGTTGTCAAAATAAGCCGGCAACCGGCGCATTTCACTGGCTATTCTGAATACTGCGCCAGCTACTCCAAATGTTAGTACATCAGTTCTGAGCATGATATTGGAGAAATAAATTGGAAATAAAATTGTTCAGGTAATAATTTGTTTGAACCCAAATTGGATTGGAGGGAATAAAAAAAAAGTGTGTGACACAATTCGAAACTGATTTAATAAGACATGTGCATCAGCGCCCACACGGTGGAAAGGAAGTCGTTTCGCGGAGCGAAATGGATTGTAGGAAATCGAACTTTACTTAATTTTAATTTTGTTAAAAAGAAGAAGTTAACAGAAAAATCAGAAGATATTTACCAATTGAAAGTGATGAGCGGGTAAAAGTTGATAAAAACTCTCCCCTTTACACATTTCACACAACGCCTTCAATACCCTGACCATGAGACAGCAATACAAAAGTCAATTGGTTCCTGTGTTTAAAGACTAATTTATGAATTATATTAAAATAGCTTACCAGCCATGTTAAACTGATCCCTAATCAAACTTGAAAACAGCCATAAAATGTTCTACACCTAAGCACATCATTTTAATCATTTTACATGTAGATTCCAACAAAACACAGACTATTTGTACAAAATCTTATAAGTATCTGGTGAAAGGTAAGTTTTCGTTCTATAAATAGGATTGCAGTGTTATTTTTTTTTTCAAAATTAATGAGACAGGTAGATTTATTTACACAATTATTACATGTAGTATCACGACCATCAGCGGTGTGAAACTGGCTGATACCCTCCACAAAACTGCAGAATCACTGATACGTTTTCCCTTACTTTTAATGTAAATAAAAATACTCCTCTGTATTTTCTGAAGCTAGGTAGTAATTTTCTAAAAACACACACGGCTTAAAAATGGCTTAGAGTGATACAAATACCGGGGTAAACACAAAATATTTAGCTTAGAAACAAAGTTGCTACCAGAAGCTCATCAGATAACGTGTGTCAAATCCGTTCGCTTTAAAACGCTTAACATTCCAATCTTACATGTAAGATTAGAATATGAAAGAAACGTGTTTCAAATTTGATTTAATTCAAGATGAAGCCAAGAAATGCTTTCAAAAGCACCAAAATATTGAGAATTTCAAAGCCGCTAATTGCCAAATTTGTCCACTAAGAGATAACTCTTGATGAGGCTCTTGATGATTTTATTCACAGTAGTGTTCTTTTTTATTGCCTCTCTAACCTTTTTGAAAAAGACCAGTTGTTTTCAAGATGATATACTGTGCCAAACAATGTAGTTTTCTTCATGCGCACTACAGTTTTTCAGAATTTGTAATTTTTCAGACACACCTTAGCCACCTACTTTTTTCCATGGAACCTACTAATCAAAACCCTACTGACAATCCTACAACAATCCTATTCATTTGCTTTGAATTACTGCAAGTTCTTCAGCTACACTTTATCAGAAAAACACAGGTTTCAGTCAGGTAATCAGAAGTTAGTTCGCAGGTCGGTGGTTTGAACCCTAGTGTAGGCAGCTTTTTCTTTCTCCGAGCTACTAAAGGATAGTTTGGTTTTATAAAGGAAAATAAAAATGTTCAAGCAATAATTCAGTAATGTAGTTATATAAAAAATGAGGCAATATGGAAATTTGAAATAATTTGCAGAAGAAAAACACTTCTCAAGTGTGAAACCATTGCACATGATTTTTGGCAAAGTTCCAGTTAAAACTGCTGTCAAAGCTATCAGTGGGTCAAATTATACTGCCACCTTTGTTGCATACCAAATGGTCTTCAAGTTGGGAGCACTTGTTCAACTCCAAATGCCAATCCCACATGACTTACTGTGATGGAACTTACTTTGTTCCACACCTAAAGCTGGTCAATCATCCTCCCATCCCTTCAAACTTCAACCTTGCTCTCAACCATCTGCAACAAGTCAGGAAGAGGCTACTAAAACTGGAACTCTAGAAACCTTTACTGGGACAATGTACATGTATTTACTGGGACGGATGACAAGGACACTGCCACTGAGTATTACAATGTGTCAAGGCAGCTTATGAAGGATGCTGACATGAATCTGCACCAGTGGTTCACAAATTTCCCAACATTGGCCACTATCATCAACCAGATAGGGACAGGATCACTCAGGACTATTAGGCATGATCTAGAATCCTAAGGAAGACACATTGCAGTTTCCACCAAAAGCCATTGTCATTCCTCCCGACGTGAAGTTCACCAAATGACAAAGCCTAAGTTCTGCTTCATCAACATTTGGTCCCATTGGCTTCATCTCCCTCATTGTGGTTGTAGTACATCATTCATTTTGTCCATGCGGGATACGGGATATGACTGGGATGAAGTTCTCCCTGAAGAACTACAACAACAAAATTGCCCAGGAAACCGAAGAAGCCTCATCATTCATGACCTCGGTTACCTGGACTTTGACAAAACTATGCCAGTAGAAATGCATGTATTTTGTGATGCATGCCCAATGATTGCAGCTGGTTGTTGTATCTTGTTTGTGCAAAATGACAAAGTCAGGTTTTTCGCTTCCAAGGTCAAAATCACTTCATCTAAACATGCACAAACTGTTACCCAGTGCCTGCCTTGGTGCAACCATAGTAGAGAGTTTCAGCAGGGACTTTTCATTTAGCCCATCATACTACTGCACTGACTCCACCTTTTGTCTCCATTGGCTTTTCAGTAACAATCAACTACCTGTCTTCATCTGCAATCAAACAACAGAGATCCTGAAGCTTACTGACCTAACTAGCTCGTCCCATGTCAATTAAAGGTCATTTTCGATTGATACACTACCCAAAAATTGCATCTCATTAAGGGGACTTATGACATCAATCACGTCTTGCTAGAGTCAAGGGGGTGACACAGCTTGTCGATTTTCCGATGGTAAATGCCATTTTCGATCCATATGCAGTCCAAAAATTGCTTCTCATTAAGGGGACTTAGAATATAAATTAATCACTTCTTGCTAGAGTCGAGGGGGTGATACATGAACAGTTTGTCAATCCATATGGTTGGTATGGAAGGTAAAGGTAGATTTCAAACTGTATACAGTCCGAAAATTGCATGTCATTAAGGGCACTCGGATTATTTTCACGTACTACTGAACAAGGTGGGTGGCTTTGTAAAATTTTTGAGTATGATCAGTACATGGAATGCTTCAGACAATAGATTTGTTTACGATAAGTAAAATGGATCTCATTCTTGACCAACACGATTGAGGTCCACACTGTTGTCTAAACTCATCTATACTCTGCTAATTTTAACTCATCAAAGTGCTCTTTTAATGGAGGTTGAATTCGTTTGGGAGAGTTCTATTTTTTTGAACAAAATCGAAGTGCTAAGAGTTGGGTAATCTAACTCATCAAAAAGATGGCGCTTGATTGTGTACGTTTGTCGAGACAATCACATTTGGAGTTTCACTTAGTTCCATAGGCTTTTCATTCTGTTTGGTTCTATTGATTACGCTGGGCTACACACATTGTAAGTTCGTATGCAAAGTAGGCCAAGACAGTGAACATTTGAACATGGAGTGAAGATTTTGAATGACTGAGCTTGAAATGAAAGAACTGGGCAGTGTCCGGTGGCCAGCTCACCATACATGACATCCTTTGATATTTGACTGTCCTTCATTTAGTGCACATGTTCCAACCATCACAGTTAACGTTGACAGAGGAGGAGATTTGAGAGTTTGTTTGCTCCAGCATGGTAGCGTTGGTGACTTTGTGTCTTTGTCTTGCCATGTGATGCTGAGATTTGAAGTAAAAGCACCTTTAACAACAGTAACATTTTAAAAAAGCCACCCCATTCTCCATGTTGGGAGAATGAGTTAATCTGAGAGACCAATTGAAAGATTTGATAAAATGTAAAATTTAACAACCTTTATGGGTGTTTTGTGTTGAGAATACAGACGTAAAGTTTATGGACATTGGCATCCACAATTTTTCACTTTTATGCGTTTTCTTTTAAGGCATTATATAACAAGTTAAAATTTCTGTTTGTTAAATAATTATGTTTCTCGTCCAAAATTTGAAAACAACCTGGGTATTGACTTCGCAGTACGCAATAGGAACAAGCTGTAACAATAGCCTCCGGTTGATATTTTCTTTCAATAAAACGCGTGTTGCTCACGTTTTATAAAGAATGAGGAATACTGTCGTGTTGCTCACATTTTATAAAGAATGAGGTATACTGTACTGACGTATTATTTCCATTGATTTTTTCTTTCCTATAAAAGCATCTGGTATTTTACTGCTCGCGCTTAAAGAACCAGGTATACATGTATATTTGGCTTGCTTGCTAGCCCCCAGTTGATATTTTCTTATGCTATATGTGTAAAAGCATCATTTTGCTGCTCACGCTTAAAGAACAACGTGTACATGTATACATGTATTTGGCTTGGCATTTACAATCCATACAAACCATACAGATCAACAAACCCTCTCACCCCTTTGCTCAAATAACACGTGATTATACTTCAAGTCCCCTGATGTGATACAATTTTCTGATTGTATACGGACCAAAAACTGTCTTTTACGATCTGTCAAACTGTTTGGATCGTGAAGTTGTAGTTTCGAACTGTGTCAGTTTGTGTATATTGGACATGACTGCACAGCTTCTGAGATATCCCATGTGGAAGTCGGTCTTCTTCGTGCACAAAAATTCAACACTTTAGGTAAGAGAGAATACCTTCTTTTAAAAAGAGCAAACTTGGCCCACCCAGCCCCTATCGCCTGACTTTAACCTTAACGAGGTTACACCATTCTCCATGGTGGGAATTAATTTTACTAGCCATCTGATAGCCAAGATTGGTAGCAGGATTGAGAAAACATGTTATGTCTGCCTTTTCACCTGTGGTACCACTTGTGATGCGAATTTGGAAATTGTTAATGACCTGTCAACCAATCAGTTCCTTCTCACACTCAGGCATCACTATGCTGTCTATGAAAAACCTTTGCTGATAATGCCAAAACATTCTCAAAGGGGATGAAGATATCAAGAAGTTGTTCAAAGTTATAGAAGATCAAAAGGTCCAGCATCACCTAGTTCAGAAGAGAGTGCAAATGAGGAACATTCCTGCCAAGTCACTGCATTGGGGCAGCATGTACGAGTGAATGCTCAGCATAGTAAAACTGTCAATCAAGAAAGTTCTTCATTGTACTCTAATCAGTATGCCAGAGATGCAAACACTCATAAAAAGGTTCAGGCAGTGGTTAATGATCGTCCAATCACATTCACCTACCATGATGTGAATGATTCAGAACCTTTAAAAATTTCAAGGCTGCTCTAGCTATGATTTTGATGTCACTGCTTTGTCACACCCTGTTGTTCATTCTGAGCAGTTAGATGATGAGGACTTCAATGAGCCTGATCAATTCAGCAAGGCTATGAAATGATGCTCAATGTTGTGTCAGCACGTCATTCAATGCTTTAAAAATGAGTACATGTACCTTGGTTCACTGCGAGAGCACTTTGTGCATCAGTTCAAGAAAGGAGGGTCTCAAGAGGAGGCAATCAAAGTTAGAGATGGATTTTACAGAAGGAAAGTGTTTTCTGGAGTTCATGGAAGTTGGCCATTGTGAAAACAATTTATTGTGGCAGTGATGGCAAAGTCAGAGCAGCAGATGTACAAACAAGCTCCGAAGTCACAAATGAATGAATGAATGAATGAATGAATGAATACTTTATTGAACCTCCCCAATGGGGCATTTCAGGAACAATAATAATCATTGTATCTCCAGCAAATGCAGTGGAGTCTGCAGCAATATTTGATACATTTCGTTAATCACAAATTCATAATTTGACACCTTTTAATGCCACTAACTCAAGAAAGTTAACTTTGGCTGGCTATGAACTCTTTGGTCTCTTTCTTTTTAAAGGAACATAAGGAGAAGTAATACCTCTACATTCTCTATTTAAACCCTGACAAAAACAGTAGTGTAGTTTAAAAACAGTTCATATTTCTTGAACCCAGCTTGGGGGGGGGGGGGGGGGGGTTAATTCCAAAACATACACAGTCACAGTCGCATTCTTTGCATTTAAAAGGGAGAAGTAACATTACCAAAAGAATAACTACTTTCAATAGTCATATCAAACAACAATTTATCAAAAAAGAACCTGGCCCTGGGGACGAGAGCGGAGTGTATCACACTAAAGATGCTAGAATGCATGCGTCTTACATGTTGGGACCCAACATGTAAAATGCATGAGTTCTAGGTAAGGTACATGTGCATGTACGGTATAATACATAGATTTAGCTAAGCCCAAAAGCGGAGCTCCTGGGCAGGGTTGTCCAAAGCTTGATTAAACTAACCCTGGGCAAGCATGAAGTTTGATTTGAGTTTTGTAACTTTGCAGTGAGGTTTTCTGTTTATATTGTTTGGCCTTCTGCTTTGAGTTTGAATAATTTCAAACTACACAAAAAATAAGTAGTGAAAAATGTTTTTATACAGGAAAAAATTATATCTTGGTTAACTTTCAGTCCTGGGTTAGCGTTAACCGGCTTCCGAACAACCCAGCCCTGATTACAACAAGTTCACCTGGCTTGAGCCCACGATCCAATCAAAAAGCACTTGGTCATCAGTCAATTTAAAAACAACACATGATCTCAATAACCTCTAAACTTGAGCCAGCAATATGGTCACATAAAACTGGTCAGTGAATACCTTGTTTTGGTAAAAGGTTAAGTCTGCATACGAGTCAAGTGGGTCACCAGGCCGGAACTTATCCCAGTTTCTGTAGCATGAAGTGACTAGGAGTATTTCTACTCCCCCCTGGATGGGATGCTAGTCCACTGAAGGGTTACCCCCAGCATTAAGTTCACCAGTACCCATTTATACACCTGGGTGGAGAGAGGCACTGTGAGAGTAAAGTGTCTTGCCCAAGAACACAACACAATGTCCCCAGCCAGGGCTCGAACCCGGACCGCTCAATCCGGAGACGAGAGCACTAACCATGAGGCCACCGCGCCTCCCACTGAAGGCTGCAACCTATTAGCTGGAGTATGGCCGCCATGTTGCGTGACATCGTTGCCGTGGTCGTGCATGCACGCCCATGAGCAATACCTCTAGCCATGATAACCATGAGAAAATCAATTCATCAGTTTCCTTTTCTTTCCTATATAAGTATGGTGCTCCAGTTGGCGGCCCGTTCTGCTATTAAATGGCTTATTTAAACTTGATTATGATGTACTGGGAGGTTAAAGTGAGTAATTGTAGCCCAATAAGAAATAAATAATGTAAAAATTACTTTTTTTAACTTATACCTGTGTCTTGACACCATCAAGTAATTTACTAAGCTTGTCTGTAACAACACCAATTAATCTTGCAATGATCAAACTTAGTCCATCTCTTGTGATACATGTCAGGTCTCGATAGGCCTTCAAAAAATATTAAATTGATTGTAGTTAGTACTATAGAACCACCAACTAAAAGTTAATACTGTCTAGTACTACTCCAAATATTTACCATAATAATCATTAATAGTGACTAAATTTCTAAAATTCTGAATAGCTTAAATTTTGATCAAAAGATACAACAGGGTCTGAAATTGTGACCAGGTGGTCACACATGTGACTGAAAATTCAGTGTTGGAACCAGAATTTCAAGGATAATCACCAGCAGGTGGGTAGATTTAAGTGTCTTCTCCAAGGTTTTGAAATAGCCTTCAAGGAATTAATTTCATTGTAAATTTAAAAATGTTGTGAGTGATTTCCTACACCTTGTCAAAATTTAATATCCAGGGAAAATAATTTAGGTCAAAAATAAAGGCAAGGCTCCCATTAAATGATCACAACAGTAATCCACATCCTGCATTGGACATTTAGTGGCCACTTTTGTTTTTGAGGGTTTCATCTGACAGGCATAAGGTGCACACATTATATCATGTCTTCCTTTCAATGTCATGTTTGTGCTCTGCAAATCTTTTGTCATCTCAGGAGACAGTCCAGTCCAGTCTTCAAACTAAGGGAGCTATCTATTTTCACACAAAAACCCTTTTTCAACTAAAACGTAAGCTACAGTATATTGTGCAAAAGTAATGCAAGCGAATTTAAACAAAATTCCTGGCTTTTCTGGGCTTTTTGAAGAAATTTCACTTGAAACAATTTTCAAGGAAATTTCCCTGCATTTTTGTGACACCTATTGTTCCGGTCTGCATGAATTTTCAAGCAATAATTCACTCCTCCCGAAATTTCTCTGCAATTTTTTGAACAGTAATTCACTGCTCCCAAAAGTTGGGTGCAATTTTTCTAATGATCTTCCATTCATCAATAGGCTAAAAGCTATGAGTAAAATACATAAATGACCTCTCTGAAGATTGAGCATTAAAGAAGCCGTTAATCTGCTGAAATAGCATCACAACTCCACGAACTGTTAGCTATGAAACTCACCTAGGTATTTCACTAGGAACACAAAATTGTTGACTTAATCCAAAACGCCAACAAACCGCAGTTCCGATAAAATACGTGTACTTGATCTTAATCACTGAATATACTTGCCAAAACACCTTTTTTACAGCATGCCAATCCCAGTCGCTGCACAGCCTTTTATAGTTTGCTGCCAATTCATCTGCTATGAGTGAAGAAATTAAGCTACGAATTACTAGTTCTGTGGAGGATATACCGCACTCGAGAAGACCAGCAAAGCTGTCTACAGATACAAAAGAATTTTTTGATCAGCAGATGCACAAAAATGGCAAGATGAAAAGTTACTAGATCGAGTAGAAGCTTGCAAAACGTAGGATTGCCGTGAGTTCATCCGCCACGCAAAGGTCTCGCCACTGGCAAGGCTTAAAGGTTAAAAACTCGTATTAAAATAATGTTACAAGCAAATCATAGTGTAACTGCTGTAATGGAGGTCTTCCAGAATTGTTTATCCCGGTAAGTTTAAGCCTAAAGAATACTATATAGGCAACAATCAAAGTGCTCAATGAGCAAACCTGTTGATTTCGCAGTGGATGATGATTGACATGAGTGGCAACTCTGCTCGCAGGGTAGCTGCAAAAGATCTTCAGAGAAGTCGAGGTTTACAAGAATAAAATTATGAATTACAAACACACAACATGTAAACCATCAGATGCAATTTGAGGTTGATTATGCAAAACAGCAAGGGCTCGTAATGTCAAAAACCGTGTTCTTATCGATTCCAAACTTGAAATAAGTACATGTGGATATTCTTCACCAAAAAAGGGTTGAACAATAAAAGAAAAAGATCAGTGGCTTTTAAAAAAGGAAAAAAAAAAGCCAGAATCAAACTTGAACGAATCCCAAAATCAAACTTGGGTCCACTAGATTGGAATGTAGGTGCTAACTATAGTAACACATAAGAAGCCTTGCTTCAAGGGGGAAAGATACAAAGTGCTTCAGCCTTATCTCAAATTGGCTAGCAAATGTGCGAATTAACTAACAAATATGCGACATATAGTCTCTTAAATTGCAAACTTCTTGGATGCCGACTTTTAGTGTGGCTAGTACACAGGGAACAGAAGAGTCCTATTTGACCTTTTTTCCAGTTAAATTCACTGTACAATTGTAGCCCAGATAGAATTTTTGTCGATTCAAATGACCTCAAAATCAAACTGTACACGTGATCATGTTGCGATTAATCTACTATAACTAGACATACAAAGCTTTTCGCAAGAGCTGTTGTGTCACTTTGCGATATGATAGCTCCTCAGCCTATTCAAGTGTCAAAGTGTATCTGCTTGAACAAGCCCAAAAATTGTTGTCTGTGGGTAAACTTTTAATGCTCGGATTGGAGTTCTGGCTAGTTCTCCTCGCTTCCATTATGTGGGATTTGTCTTCCAATGCAACTTATGTTTCTTCCCTGTTATTTGCCTAACATGGAGAGTTTGTGGTCAAGATCAGGATTTTCTCATGGTGGAATCCATGCCTTGTGCTCACAAGACCACAGTGTTCTTTATTAGACTTTTCGACAAATGCTACGGTGCCCTCAACGAAACTGTTCGCTTTGATTTCTGAAATTTAATTTCAGGAGCTCAACCCTCCAGTAGTAGTACCATTGACATGTAGAGTGGATTGGCTCTTGTCAATCTTTACTAAACCTCAGAGCACAAATTTACAATAGCAGCTTCCAGCAACTTCACCTCTGTCATCAAAAACGTTCCCAATACATATTACAAAGGCCAACATTAACTTTGGTCTTATTTACAGTTACACGTAACTGTTCATTTAAGATTAGAATTATAATAGAAATGTCAAATGAGCTATACCCAGAAAGCAAACAAAACAAGTTTCAATCAAAATTTCAATCAAACTTTTGAGAGAACTTTCGTCGAAAATCGTGAGAACAAAGAACACAATTCACGCATTTCGCTTGCATTACTTTTGCACAATACTATACGTCTTTAGGCTTTTTGGTTATTAGTTGTTTTTTTTTTTTTGGCCTTTCCTTCTTCTCCTTTTCTTATCTTTTTGCTGCAGTGATTGACCTTCTACTGGGCTTAGTTCTACTGGCCAGTTGAAAAATACCTGAGAAAGCATCATCAAAACAGGCAATTTTTACCATGGAGAAGCTAAGGGTAGTCGCAGGAAATTTTGCTGCAAGTTTCAGGCTCCATTGAGCCAATCACTCTGATCTGGTATTATTGGAAAGATCTTTTCCTCCTGCAGAAGTTGAGTATAGACGATGCCAATTTTGGTCAAAGGTGATGATGTCAGAAGTGGAACAAAGGCCAACACTCATCACAGCCGGTTATGGCTGGCACAGGAGTCAGTGGGTTAAGAAGTTAAAAAGGAACCTTCATTTCAAAAAGTTCGCTAAAGAAGGTTTTGTTGTCTTTGTTTTGTGAATGGTGTGTTTTAAGGATATGCAAGCCCTGGTTAGTTAAAAGAGAATTTCCATCAAAAATCAGCAATAGAAAACTCAACAAGTGTTAATTCCACAAGTCTTTTTTTTCTCAGAAAAAGGGCAGCCCTTATTTTTTAATTCTTGGTTATGTTATTCGCCTACACAGACATTCTTTGGCCTGTCACTCAATCCCTGCACATGAAGACCCTAAGAATGTGTTCATATAAGGCTAAAGTTACGTTTCCTGAGCAAACAATTTAGAACTTCTGTTGCCGTAACGAAACTGACATATATCTACTGGTCTCCTAGCCTTTCAGACATTCTTAAGCCCGCCTTACAATCGTTCCTCTGTGTGACAGGCCTAAGAATGTCTGCAAAGGAGCTACTGGTCAACATGACTCCTTTAACTTTTATTTTTGCTTTAAAGCAATATTCTTTTAAAAGCTGAGAAGTGTTTATACCCCCCTTTATATTTCAACGTACAACACTAATAATATTATTATGTAATTTAAAGTTTGACCCTTGTCTAAAATCATGTACTTCAAGACTTAAGGGTAAAACACAGAGTATTGGAAAGAGGAGCCAAATCCATCCTTGCATTGGCAGTATGTCAGATCTTTTCACCCTACTAGCATTGGATCTTTTTGCTTACCTACACAAAAAGATCTGATAGCAGTTAAACCCAGTGGGTAGCGAGTTTACTTTGTTAATACTCTGAGTTTGACCGCAGACCACCTGACGGTGCCATGACTTCTGGCTCTTCGCACCTGACCTACCGTTCAGAAAAGTTTCTTTCCGTTTGTTGCCCACCTGTTGCATCAACAAAACGTCCCATAACGAAAGATCGGAGAACATGACAAAAGCATCAAGATAAGATTAGTCTCCTTTCCAACTGTTTTTAGGGGGAACATTGTGTGACACATATAGGTAATGTCCGCACTACACCGGAGAAATTTGGAATTGCAGCTTCATTTCTACGGTTAGGACTTCATCCACACTAATCCATAATGGAATTTGAAAACGCCAGCTTTTCATTTTCACATGGACGGAAAACATTTTGAAAGCTGACAATTTTCGGCTTTCAAAAGCTGAAAATTTCGACTTTTCAAAAATGATAGCTGCACGATAATCATGTGATTTTCCTCTCTGAGTTTTCCTCAAACACAAATCCAAAATGACCAGTAATTGTTGTGTTTTTAAATTCTCTAGAGTAGTGTGGAAGAAAACGTTTGATGCATTTTCAGAGTAAAACCTCCATTTTCAAATTCCTCCAGCGTATTCCTCCACCCTAACCCTAACCCAGAAAATTGTCCGACCGGTATCCCCAACCCCCTCCAAAAGAATAATGGTCTGTCCCTAAGATAAAATTGAACATTCCAAGTAATAATTCCTAAGGTCAAATTTGGCTCCTCTACTCCCTGCGCTTAAAGAAAATTTTATCTGTATTAATACTAGCTAGATCTTTATCTATTTTGTGTTTGTTTCCTCTCAAAACTAGATGCTCTAAGAGCGTTGACTCGGGCTTCATACCGCAAGTAAGCATATTGAACACAATAAATCTTTTCATTGTGTCTAGATACCCGGCAGCCGGGAATTGTTTTCAGAAAACTAGATACCTGGCAGTCTGAAATTATTATAGAATTTCCACAAAACAACTCACTCTTAGAATAGTAGATCTTTGTTCAGAGAATGTCAAGCAATTTCAAGTATTATTTTGGCTTTGTAGTTGAGGAAATTTTCAAGCTTGGACATACTATAAAATCTTCATGTTTTGACATTTAGTCCACAATGAAAATAATATTTTGTTCAGAAATGCCAAGCAACTGTAATAACGCTGTGGTTTTGAAGTGGACGAACTACAAAAATCTTGACTCACGGGCAGCATTGTTTAAGGTCAAAAATTCATAGGTAATCAATTTCCACAAAATTATTGTTATTATTAGAAACCTCCTGAGATTATTTGAGTATTTTGATCTTTGGTCATAAACACCAAGCGATTTTATTCAATGATTTGAGTTTGCAAGTTGTCTGATGAACTTTGTGTGACCCACGGGCACAGTTTTTCAAAAAAACTATATATACATGTACCCGGCAGTCAGAAATTCTTTCCATTTTTCCACCGAAATGACCATTCAAACGCGCTGAGAATGCTTAATCTGCATAGAAATACCAATGGATTTCCAAACTGCATTGAATTCACACTGCCTCGGCATGGAAGACCATGGAAGCAAAATTAATAACAGACAGACCATAACCTGACGAAAGACCACTATAGGTTGCGTGACATTGTTGATACCAAGACCTACTGAGTGACGGCAGATCTACTGTATTCTAAGAATTGAATGAATTATTCTATGGAAATTCTATAATAATTTCAGACTGCCAGGTATCTAGCTTTTTGAAAACACTTCCCGGCTGCTGGGTAAAAACAAATAAAAGAATCAGGATACTTTTTAACATAAAGAGTTACCCTTAGATATTTACTATTCAAGTTGCTTCATTGAGTATCCTCTTTATCCAATTGCATGTTGTTTGTCTGATCTTCCAAGTTCTGCTTACAACAACTCTGAGTTATTCGTCTCAGTATCATGATTTGTTTTTTGTTGGTGTTTTAGTAGTTGGACTCATAAATGGCTCCTTTGTTATTTGTGAGAACTTTGCTTATCTGGCAGGCTTTCAAGCAGTATAATTCATGGGCCAACCCGTTCTAAAAACAATCAACATCTTCTTCGAGTCTTTCCCAAACTTTCTTCGCAAAACACAGCATTTACATAATTTTTTGTTCATGAAGAGTGAGAGCTGTCTCATCCCCAGTTTCCTCGCACTATGCTAGGAACGCCTGGGACCATGACCCCCAATTTGGCGACCAAACACAACAACAATGACCAATGGCTTGCATTTTTTGACTCAGGCTTTCCTACAGAAGCCCAAGTAACAAGAACCAGCCTGCCATGTTTTTACTCACTTTTTTGTATCTTTTAGATCTTTCTTATTATTTTGCGAAAGATAAAAATAACAATTTTCGCTTCTAAAAAATTAACCACAGCATCAGAAAAAAATCCTGTTACACTGTTTATTGTTATGCCGTTACCTGTTACACCGTTACAAGTTTTACTAACAACCCATTACACACAATGTTAAATGTTTGTTTTCATTACATGCAGCCAGTTGAACGACTGTGTGTAATTTTAGCCATAATATCAAGTCTACTGCATGTAATTATCAGTTATTCTGTTACACGCATTTGCGTGTACATGTGTGTGTTTCGTGTGTGTAAAATGTATGGTCAATGTGTGTAATATGCGTATAATGCTGCAATCCCTTTGGCCTGTAAAGTAGATGTATATATATTCCATGCAAAATTGCTCAAAGACATGTACAGTGTAGTCAGCAATGACTCAACATGACAAAATAATAGTACTAAACAAAAAATAAAGACTCATTTGAAACCTTTGCTGCAGCAGCTGGTTCCACTAATATGATGTAAAGGAGCCCAAGAGATGCTTCCTCGTGCTGCTGAGGACCTTTACACACCTAATAAAAATAAAACCTATTAATTATTTATCAGTAAATATTATAGTCTAAGCTTCCTGGCATATCATAAATCACTCATATAATTAGTACAACTTTAGGTAATAGCAATATTTTACATTACAGTTCATAAAACAAAAGGACCTTCTCCAACCCAACAACCTATTGTTTATAAGGCTTTTTATGATTTTTTGACAGCGTTGTATGTTTTTAATGTATCAAAATTCTCTCTTGAGTAATGCATACCAGCACTCTCTTGTGACAAATCTTATCTTCCACAGATTAAGACAACAAAAACCTCTCAGTTATTGATAACACTACTGGTATAGAATGCAAAATCTGTTCCAGAAGCATCAAAGTAGACCAAAGAGACAATTCTAGACAGTGCTAGACACAGCAAGGAACAAGTAAATTCAACTGGCCGCCATTTTATGAACCTCATATTGCCGTAGAAGTTTTCATAGGGCATTACACCTCTACACCTTTATCATTGATCACTTTGTATTTCTTCTCTTTTTTTTTTTTTTTTGAATTGAATTTTATTTACAGCCTGAGCACTTACACTACTTACTACTTGTATTTCTTCTCTTGCAAGTACACATAAAACGGTGGCATGTTACCACAGTTACCAATGGCTTTTGGTCCGTTGTTCATAGTAGTTTTTATTCAGCCTTATGCCTGAATTCGTTGGTTAACGATCATTTTACATATCTTTGATCACACATGAACTCTATGGCTCTACGATCAAACATTTCTAGCTAATGACCTCTACAGCTCTGTGGCTCTACGATCACACATTTCTAGATAATGCACAGCTGTATGGCTCTACAACACTACAACTCTATGGTTCTACAGCTCCAAGCACAGAATAGGAATCGTTTATTTTAGTTTTTTTCTTTACTTTAAATAGTACCATACTAAGTATTTAATAAAGTGTATTATCGTTTGTCTCACGATGTAGTCACTTGAGATGTAGATCGCAACATTTCGACTGCTTACTACTAGTCTTCTTCAGGCAATAAGGTTAACTGATTGCACGGTATCATTTATATCACAAAGGTCGGCTGTGATTGGTGCATTTCGATCCTCCTATTGTTCCATTGTTCCGGTGAGTAGCTGTTCCCTCAGTGGTCCGCTGTTGTACCGTTCTCCTGTTGTTGTGTATTTTGATCGTGGGCATCCATGCTTCAGGAATTTCAATTCCACTATCCCTGTTGATATCATTAGGGTGAAGTCTTACGTGAATAGCTTCCTTGACCCTATGCGTGTACCAGTGAGGATCTCGATCAATAAACTTGAGCTCATTCCAGATAGGATAATGGCCAGTCTCGTGGGTGTGTTCAGAAACGGCAGAGGTCTGGGTATGGGTGAGTCGTATATACCCGTCATGTTCTTTGATCCTCTCCTGCATAGATCTCCCTGTTTCCCAGATGTAGACTTTGCCACACTCACAGGGAATCCTGTACACAACACCACCCTGTTTAGCTGGGTTGACGGTGTCCTTTGGTTGCACCAGTATGACCTGTCTGCTTTCTTGGCTAACACATTATCTCCTCTTGCAGGTAAGTCAAACTTCACAGTGAAAAACTCGACTGACTTCACCTCCACCATCGCCAGTGAAGAGATCCAGGACCATGAGATCATGGTGTCTTTTGACGTAGAGTCACTGTTTACCAACATACCAATCGAGGGTGCCGTAAAGCCATGCTAATAAAAATGGAGACCAACGCAGGCCTGGCTGACCGCACGACACTTACACCAGTTCAAATCGTGGACGTCTTGGATTTTGTATTAAGATCTACGTACTTCCACTACAACGGATCGATTTACAAACAACGAGATAGCGCAGCCATGGGGAGCCCTGTATCCACAGTTATTGTTAATCTCTACATGGAGATATTTGAAGAACAAGCAATAGAGTCTGCACCTTGCAAGCCTAGAAATGCTACGTAGATGATACTTTCACCATCCTGGATCGGGATAGAGTTGACATCTTCCTGCAACACCTAAGCAGTCAACGACCATCAATCCGTTTCACCATGGAGATCGAGAAAAACAGCAAGAGCACCTTTCTCGACACGTCAGTTTAGAGAGAACCTGATGGCCCCCTTACCACCGGTGTCTACCAGAAACCAACACATACTGATCAGTACCTAGCATATGATTCACACCACCCTCAGTCAGTAAAGCGCGATATCATGAAGTGTCTGTACGACCGGGCTAAACGTCTCATGACCAAACCATCAGTAATCGCTGGAGAGAAGAAACATCTGTCATCTGTACTTGTTTCTAATGGATATCCCTCCTCTTTTGTACAGAAGATCACAAGGGTACAAATTGACTTAGTTTAACTTCACAAGAATAAGGTAGTTCGATACCCATAATTTTAGGATTTTGATGTATTTTTTGTGCCAGAATTTCTACACATAGGATGAATAATAAGGGACTCACCGGGAATCCTTGCCTTACGCCTCTAGACACCCGGAAATAGTTAGTCATGTATCCTCCATTGTTAACCCCACTCTCAACATCACTATAAAGTACCGAGATCCATTTCCGAATGTTTGGGCCAAAATTGAAAAATTTTAGTGTGTGTTGGATAAAGGACCATTCCAACATATCAAAGGCTTTTTCAAAGTCTATGAACAGCAATATACCAGGAGGTTTACTTGATTCAGTGAATTTCATTAGGTAATTTAAAGCCTCACGCTTTGACGGATAGATCGTCCTTTTACAAAGCCCTTTTGATCTGAGTGAACCAATTTTGGCAGCTTCAGTTCTATTCTTTTCGCAATGGCTCTAGCAAGCATTTTGTAGTCAACATGAAGCAATGTTATCGGCCGCCAGTTACTGAAAAGCATAAGATTATTTTCATCCTTTGGTATAAGCGATATAATTCCTCGCCTCTGAGATATAGATAGCTTGCCTGTTTGAAAGCCTTCATTAAAAGAGTCAATGAGATTTCTCCATAAAAGTTCAAAGAAAGTTTCTTAAAATTCTTTTGTAAAACCACTGTCACCTGGAGTTTTGCTGGGTTGGAAGCCTTTTAAGGCATTTAACAATGCGTCTTTCATCAGGTCATGTTCAAGTTCACTTACTTCGTCTTGGCAAAGTTTGGATTTTGTAGGTTCAAGGTGAATAAAGCAAACTGATCCTCATAGTCATTATTTTCTTCTTGCGGGATTCTAGAGGTCAGGAAATTTTTGTAACAATTTTCTATTTCCTTGTTTATCTTAGTCATATCAGAGATAATTTCACCATCTGTTGTTTTAAGCTGGGTTATAATCTTGTTCTCATAATTCTGTTTTTCCAAATTGAAGAAGTATTTCGTCAGTTTCTCACCATTTTCGATCCACCTGGTTCTTGATCTGAACATTGCCTCTTTTCCCTTTATAGAATAGATTTCAGTCAGTTCTTTTTTAAGGTTTTCAAACTCCATTAGAATATCGTCATCTCAATTTTCATTATTACAAATTTCTTTACCTAGCTCTTCTAATTGGCGTTGAATGATAGTTTCGCGGTTTCTCAAATTGAACTTTTTATTTTTGGAACAGGTAATTGTCGTGCTTCTTATTTCCATTTTCAGTAGTTCCCAGTACAATCGACAGTTCTCGACGTTTTGGTATTTTTCTTGAAAGGAAGGGCAGTTACTTTTAATTAAGTTAATATACTCATTGTCTTTTAGTAGCATGTTATTAAATTTCCAATTTCTGGGCCCGCGTGCTGGTGCTTGGTCAATCTCAATACTAAGGAATATAGTCTTATGATCGGGGGCGATTGAGGTTCGTGTTTCTATTCTCCTTACTTGATTGATTAATTGTTTTGTAATTATAAAGAAATCTATCCTGGACTTAAGGTTTCTATTTTTAGTTTCATAGGTATATGTTTTTGAATTTGGGTGAAGTCTTCTGTAAACCTTAACCAAATTAAGCTCTTTCATCAGGCTCAATAGACCGTTGCTATAACTTGCCTCTCTCCATGGAAGCCCACCAGTCTTATCTAAGTGGCCAAGTGTAGTATTCCAATCTCCTACCATAATGACCTAGCTTAGAGATACACGTTTAAGATAGTAGAAGATGGGTGAGTTCTTGCAAGAAAGGAATTTGCAATCGGCAGTCAGTCGGTGCATAAACAATTACTACAAACAATTTCTCTGTTGTTAATTTCAAATTAGCAAAAATATACCGCCCCTCTTCGTCACTTTCTATGGTTTCTAAAGGATAACCGTTTGGTTTTACTAGTATACTTACACCTCTGGAATGTTCTGAGCCGTGAGAGAATATAACCTGTCCACCCCATTCAGCACGCCAAATTGTTTCATCTTCCTTTTTAGAAAATGTTTTTTGAAGGCAAAAGATTGATGCTTTTTGTTTCTTTAGATAACAGAAAATGGCTCTTCATTTTTCTTGTTTATGAAGACCACGGACATTCAGTGACAAAATCTTCAATTGTGACATGAATTTGCATACAACAATAAAGCATAAGTTATTCTAAAGGGAACAAAAGTAACACAGATTGCAAAACAACATTATACCAAGACAAAAACAAAAACCAAAAAAAACAAAAGCACAGTAACACTTAAACCTTACTCTTCTGGGATTTACCTGCGTCCTTCCGAAAACTCAACACAAATAACCAAGGTCAAGTGAAAATTATCAACAAAATCCTGAAAACGCCTAAGTTGTTGAAGCAAAATTAGTATAATGATGACGATTATGTAACATTGAATTCTATGAAAAAATAAAATGCCATTTACCATTTGCAAATATCTGCATTAGTTCTGGAAATATATAAGTTTGAAAAATGTGTAAAATATGCAAATAAGATGACTGATGATGTCATACACTCAACCCAATTTTCTATCAAGCATATAAATAGAGAGCTATCTTGGCCAATTGGCAGCACAGACCAGTGAAACTTGGGGGCTAATAGTTCTACAGGAAACACACATACAGAATGGCTATAAAAAATTATGTTCCCATGGCAACTTGCTCTTTTCCAGT